TATATATATATATATACACACACACACACATATAGTTAACAAATCAATAGGCTTCAGGGATCACATCCTCTCAAGTTGGCACAACGCCAGCACAGAGCCATGCACACGTGCCACTAAGTGATGGCGATGGTGGTGACAGGGATGCAGTTGAGCACCAGCGGAGGAGAGTGCAGCGCCGGGAAAGCCTCCCCTCCCCCGAGCCCCTGTGCCACTCCTGAGAGGACCCCCTGCTGCTCCTGGATCTCTCATCATTTTCTCCTCTGCCCCACTAGGGTGTTGCGCCCAACATACCTTTTCTAAAAGCTCCTGGTTTCTCTTAATGAAAAGTTGTTTATCTTCTACCCAGTGTGAATCCTGTTTGACAAAGAATACCGTGTAGTCAGCATTTCAGAGTGGCACGAAAGAGCCTGTGTCAAACCACTTTCCAGAGCTGTCTTCTCTCACCCAGTTTGTTGGCCTGCTGATGGCTGGTAAATGACACCCACCCCCGTCAGCTCCTCATTCAAGAACATTGGGGCCAAAGTTGCCAGGAAAATTGAACCCCCTCTTCATTGTCACTCACTATCTCTAACTTATTCAGTCTGAATAATCCAGGACCAGCCTTCCGGGGACTCAGAAGTGACCACATAGGCAAAAAGTGAAAAGGGTCAGAATGCACACAGGCTAGATACATATGGATGGAAAACATTAAAATGCAGAACCATAAATGTAGCAGAGAGGCAAAGAATGCAGCTTGAGGGGCGGGTCTTTGTCTTAGCAGCTTATGACCACTCTAGGCTATTTGTACAGCGCACCGCTTCCTCTGGCATTCCCTCTCTTGCCCAGCCTCATTCATTGTTGTAGCTGGGCTCACACTCTGGCCAGAAAAACACCAGGGACAGAAACACAGAGTTGAACATTCTGACACAGTGTGAGAAAGGTCACTGTGGAGAGCCAAGCTGTGTCCTGGGTGCAGCCCATGCAAAGGGTGGTCTAGAGGAAGGTCAGATTGTATTGTCTGCATCTGCAGGAGTGCTAGCCATCAAATGCCTACCTGCCCTTTTTGAGCCAGAGTCGCTTCCAGATCTTCAATTTTGGCTTTATACCTTAGCACCTCTGCTTGAAGCTGTTCCTGAGCCTAGTGAAATCAAAATTCCAGAACTCAGTAAGTAAAATGGTTCAGTACTTTTCCTCCCCTCATGTTCCTTGATTAGCACTCAATAAGAAAGAAAAACAACTTTTTTCTATGACGAAAGATCCTTTTAAAACTATTTTTTATGGTTGTTTTTTTTTTTTGAGAGAGAGAGAGAGAGAGAGAGAGAGAGAGAGAGAGAGAGAAAGCATGAGAGGGACAGAGACACAGAATCCGAAGACAGGCTCCAGGCTCTGAGCTGTCAGCACAGAGCCTGATGAGGGCTTGAACCCACGAACTGCAAGATCATGACCTGAGCTGAAGTTAGACACTTAACCGACTGAGCCACCCAGGTGCCCCTCCTTTTAAAACTATTTTTATGGTCGGGGCTCCTGGGCGGCTCAGTTGGTTAAACATCTGACTCTTGATTTCAGCTCAGATCATGATCTCGCAGTTCATGAGATGGGAACGTCGCCTGGGGCTCTGTGCTGACAGCGCAGAGCCTGCTTGGGAGTCTTTCTCTCTACATCTCCCTCTGCCACTCCCCCACTCACCTTCTCTCCCTCTCTCTCTACATAAATAAATGAACTTTAAAAAACCCTATTTTTATGGTCTAAATTTTTGCTTAAAACTTTCAATGTTCTCTTTATTATCAGGTTAAAATTCAAACTTGTCAGCTGAGATTTGAGAACTCCCATTATATTTGCAGTCTTTTCCCCCTACTCATCAACAAAGTTCACCCCTGATTTACTGGTGATCTCCTTATATCCTAAATATGCCTTATAACCCTCCACTTCTCTGTTTATTTGAACAAATTCCCCTTCTGGGGAGCTTTCTCTCATGTTGCCTCTCCCAAAACTTACCATTCTTTCAGAACCAACTTTGTGCTTTAAATCTAAATCCAGATGTATGCATGCATGTATGTATTGTGTGTGTGTGTGTGTGTGTGCATGTGTGTGTGTGTGTGTGTGTGTGTGTGTGTATCAGCAGTTTTGGATACTGATCAGCACAGAGCCCGATGCAGGGCTCGAACCCATGAATGGCAAGATCATGACCTGAGCTGTAGTTGGATGTTTAACTGACTGAGCCACCCAGGCACCCCTGGACACTGACCTTCTATGGAGCAATCGGACTTCATTTGTTTTCAGATTCCCTTGTATTCTCCCTACATAGGACCTTATTCTCCATGAAAAATTAGTGGGTTTTTTGTTTGCTTTTTGCCCATACACATATTTTATCTTGTCTTATCTGGATAGGTTCCTTATTACAATGTAGAATAAAGTCAGCAATGGCAGGTATCCTTTCCTTTTTTCTTTCTTCCATTCTTCCTCCTTCCTTCCTTAAAAGTAATCTTTATGCCCAACATTGGGCCCAAACTCGCAACCTTAAGATCAAGAGCTGCATTCCCTATTGACTGAGCCAGCCAGGAATCCCTCCTTTTCTTATTCTTCATGATGAGGAAGATGTATCTTTGGACAATGAAGATTGTATTTACCTTCATCAGGTTAAAAAAAATTCTAAGCTTAATTTTGCCAAGAATCATTTTAACTTCAAATGAGTATTGAGTACAATCAATTTTCTTTCGTGTATCAAAATGATCACATCTTTTGTTTCACTGATACTCATTCATCTATATTATTTATTTTTGCATTTCTACTTTGAACTTACTCTATTGCTTTATTTCTAACATATTGATTTGTTTTATACTATTTTGCTGAGAATGATTAAGTTGTTTTGTTTTTGGCCAGAGATAATGCTAAACCTTTATTTGGAGAAGAAAGTGAGATGAGAGAAAGTTTCTACATCATTACCTCTTCAAAAACAAAACATATGGTCTTATTTTAAATGACCAATCCTATGTTGGTGAGAATGCTTAGAACATACTGAAAATGAAAACCACAACTGATAGTAGAGCATAAACACAAAGGAACACACATACCTCCCTTTCTAATGATTGCCTGCCTGTCTATTCCAAATCACAGGTTTCTTTTTTAAAACATTTATTCAGTTACGTATAAACATGTGCATGTACATATATTTCCATTTAAAAATACATAATTATAATATCTATCCTGTCCCACTAAACAACTAACAGTAGTTCTTACAACATTCCTCAGCACACTACAGACCCTCTAAATTGAAAGTGAGACAAAATCACTGGGTGGTCATATTCCTTCTTGCCCCATGTAAATTAATCTATGAGGCAGTTATGGCATGGTGGTTATGACTGAACTCAGAAACACGAGGTTCATATCCTAGCTATCATCTAAGCTACATATCCTGGTTTCAACCTAGCTAATCTACATTTAACTCCTACTAAGCTATTATCTCCTCTCCTATAAAAAGCACATAGCTAATAATAGCCTATAACTCATAGGGTTGTTTTAGGATTACGTGAGATAATGTATGTAAAGTGCTTAGAACAATGCCTGGAACACAGCAAGCACTCAATAAATTGTAAGCATTAGTACTGTATGCATATATGTATGTGTGTGTGTGGGGGGGGGGTGGGTGTCTTAAAATAACGGTTTTTAAAAAACCGTGAGGCAGTTGTAGCGTAATGAAAAGAATGTGTGACCCAGTTAGATTTTACCTGTAATCCAAGTTTTCTATTTATTAGCTGTGTGATCTTGGGCAAGTCAATTAACCTCTCGGAGCCTTAAACTCCTCTTTTATAAAATACCTGCCTTAGGGTGCTGTTATAAAAATCAAATGAGATACTGGCACTGAAAATTCTTTATGAGCTTTCAGTTTCATGCTGTGCACTTATTAACTAAGAAAAGAAAATGACTAACCACTGAAGTATTTTTTTTCCCAAGAAAGAAGCTAAATAAAGTGGATTATCAAAATTCAATATTGTCTAGCTTTGAAAATATAAGTTTTCAAATAGCAAGCATAAGAACTACTATCTTTACAGGAACAAAAGCATCGATATAGGTTGGTTCTAATGTCCCTAGATCCAAGGTTTGTTGACATAAAAGACGAAACAGTTCAAAAGCCACAGTGGAGAGAAGGATCCAGGGAAATCTATCCTATTGATATTTTTATGTCCATAGTACTTTCATGTTGTGACTGCTGCAAGCCAATTCAGAGCATGCTCCCTGGATGGATACTGACCTTGGCTTCTCTTTCAGCATCGATGATGCCTCCAGTCTGCTCCTGTAGGAGGGCATATGCTCTCTGAAGGGCCTGGTATTCTTTTGTTAATTGTCGAAAGCGTAGCTCCGATTCTTCAGCCGCTAAACTCTTAAGGTGACAAAAAAAAAAAAAAAAAAAAAAAAAAAAAAAAAAAAAAAAAAAAAAAAGCCAAAAAATAATTATGTTACGTTCCGGTCCTGTGTTCAATATGAAATATTAACATTTTCCCGCTTTATAAGGAGAAGTAAATGTTTGATACTGGATTTGGTGTGATTTTATTCTTAATTTTAAAATGCATACATAGACACGAATTATGTACTTTCAAGATGGACATTGCAGAAATACTCAATATTTGTTAATAAGAGGCATTTGCTTATTTATACATTTCTGATGATTGCTCATTTGGGCTTGCAGTGCAGTCAGTTTTGGACCCAAATGAGAACTTATATCTAGTCTGGATACAAATGTGAGTCAATAATACTTAGAGTTTTAGTCTCAATTCTTTTCAATACATTCAAATCCAACAACTTCTTCCAGAGATAAATTATAAAAACATAGTTTTATAGTTTTACGTCTCAAACTTCAGAACATAATACAATCATCAGGGAGTTTTGGGAAAAATGCAGAGTTGAGGGTTCTACCCACAGGATCCTAAGTCAGGAGTTGTGCAGTAGAATCCAGGAATTTTCAATGTGATCAAATCCCCCTAGATGATTTTGATAAAGGTAGTCTACAGGGCACATTCTGCTAAACCCTGTCTTTAACTGTATCCAGAAGCTTGTTCTTCTAAGCTTGTTTCTTGGTTCACACCTTCCCTAGATGAAGAATTTTGGAAACTTTCTTTTTTTAAGTAGGGGCTTGAACTTATGACCCTGAGATCAAAAGTTGCATGCGCTACTGACTGAGCCATCCAGGCAGTCCAGAAAAGGGACTTTTATTTTGGAAAAAAAAAAAAAAAAAAAAAAAAAAGTCTTCAAGTTACAGAAGTTTACACAAGTTGTTAAAAAGGCTACATGACACAGGTGAAGCTATTTTCCAAGAGGTAAAAAAGTCAAAAGGGTTCACTATTATGTGATCATGTTGTGCAGCTCATACAGGATATTAGAAGTGCAAGGCTTCTTTCCCACCTTAAAGGAAAGATTTGGTGACAATATCACAAAGACTAGAGAAGCGGAAAAGCTTACTTCATCCAAGTCGTCATCAGGAGTAGCTGGTGTTCGGTCTGTTCTAAATGATGCCATAGATGACGTCTCTGAATCCATGGAGTCCTCATCGTAGCCAATAAATGGGTCCAAAACAGGCCTCTAGGGTAGGGAAAGAACATATTTACTGACACGACTAGAAGTGGAGAAAGTCAACATATTATGAAGGCACCATCGGCTGGCATATGTGCAAATGGACACAGAAGACAGGGGTCCTTTAGTGCTTCTCAGATGAAAGAAAAGCTTTGGGCATGAACACTATAATTCCAATAAAAGTTTGTCCCACATTATTTCACACTTCTGAAGTTTTGGGGGGGAATATTCATTAACATTTGGCTCCATTCATTGAATAGTCTTTTCAGTATTTAAAATATAATCAAGAAACCTAAAGTCCAGGCATCTATGTGAGATTCTCAAATCTTAAGTCTTATCATCCAATCCCATATCCAAATCAAATGATGTACTTGATAAAAACAAAATCAAGTAGACAAATAAAAAAAACTCTGTGGATTGTAAGAGGCTATACAAATATTGGTGGATTGGGAGTACCATTATTTTTTAATGATAATTTTTCTAAGTTTATTTGAGAGAGAAGAGAGAGAGTGCAAGCATGAGCAGAGGAGGGGCACAGAGAAAGAGTGAGAGAGAGAATCTCAAGCAGGCTCCACACTCAGCACAGAGCCCAATGCGAGGCTCAATCTCACAACCACGAGATCATGATCTGAGCCAAAATCAAGAGTTGGACACTTAACCAAATGAGCTACCCGAGCACCCCTGAGAGTACCATTATTAATAATCATTATCAACATTATCCAAGTGAACAATGGAATAAAAATCAAACCCTTATCAGTAATATTGCCCAAATGAATAATAAAAATATACTAATCAATTATAGGGTGGGTATGAGACACTAATAATATTTTTCGCTGGGAGGCATTAAATCATATGTATCTCTTGCATGTTCTTGGAGTTTGACTCTCCAGCTTGTCAGATACTGCTTTCTACATCAAACCCAGTGCTTTCTTTCACTCAGATAGTCTCATATTAAAGCAAACTTTAAAGGTTAAAATCCATAACACAATCATTTGGGGACTTCTAAGAACTGTCAGGAGAAGAGATTTTCTTCTAGGAAATAAAGCCCATGGTTTGCTTCAGTGTAGGAACATCTGATTTATCACATCTTTGCAGGAAGATTCCTTGGCAAGCCTCACTTCCCTGGCAGTGTTTGTGGCAAAAGCCTGATAACCTAGTTTTCCCATTACCTTAATTGGCTTGGAACTTCTTCTATGTTTTCTCCTACGGATGAGCTTTTCTCGGTCCTGGAAAACAGATGAAGCTTTTCAGGTGTTGAGTTGGTACATATTTTCCTATAGGTGTTTTTTTTTTAATTTTTTAATGTTTATTTATTTTAGAAAGAGAGACAGAGCGTGTGAGTGGGGGAGGGGCAGAGAGAGAGGGAGACACAGAAGCCAAAGCAGGCTCCAGGCTCTGAGCTGTCAGCACAGAGCCCGACGTGGGGCTCAAACTCACATTTTTTTTTTTTTTTTTAAATGACAGAGTTTGTTTTTGCCTGAGTCATTACATATTTCTATTTAAAGTAAAATTGTGTTTTGTAATTTTGGCAACTTTTAGGTTTGATACTTACATATTTTTTTAAAGTTTTTATTTATTTAAGTAATCTCTACATTCAAGGTGGGGCTCAAACCCAGGACCCTCAGCTCAAGAGTCACAAGCTCCTCTGGTGGAGCCAGCCAAGTGTCCCATATATACTTACATATTTTTATAGTAAAAATACTCTACAACTTTTCTTGATCATCTATGTGGATCTGAGAGCCTCCCAATCAGGAAGGGCACAGTCTTCTTCATCAGAATCCTTTGTTATACCTAAAGATTAAGTAGCTCTGAAAAGAGTCACTCCTATTTTCCCAAAGCACAATTTTTCAGTTTCTTTCAGTAATTTTTCAAATTACTTTATATTTAGGTACTGAAAAAAATACTACTGTACAAAAACTTTATTCTTTGCATTTAATCAGTTGAAGGTACAGAAAACTGCCCTTTGACTATTCTTAGACCCTTGTTCTCACCTGCAGCCTCTGAAGATGGAAACAGGAGTATCTACTGAATTGGAATCATCTGGTGTGTGAAGGGACAGTGGTTCTTGTTGGAATGTTCTGGGAAACTCAAAGAATATCTAGAAATAATGATTGATTTCCTGATTCATTCTTGTTATGGATGGAGATATCCTGGGAATTGGGCGTTCATCTACGAAGTACTCTATGTATTTACTGTACAAATTCAAAGGTAGATTAAATAAGTGACAGTTTCCCTGAAAGTCTGGATGACATGCCTCCACATGTCAAAATCCTGTAAGAAACTTAGCTTTAACCTTAGATACTCAAAGCTGAGCAAATTCTTGGCTGAGTGAATCTGTGATTTAAGAGTTATTAAGGATATGGATGTGAAGTAAGAGGCACAGTGCTTCACATGTTTTATAAAAAGTCTGGTTAAAGTCAGTGATGTTAACTTTTTGTATTTCCTGCCTTGTAAAAAGTATTTTGATCATACAACCTCAACATATCTGAATCTTGGGAAGTTTACACTTAGATTATCCTCCTAATACACTATATGTCTTATAACATAGACTGAACTTAGACCATTTACAAAGGGTAAACCACAAATAGTTACAAACAGAAGTTATAATCTTCTCTTCCTTCAATGGCAGGAAATTATCTTGTTCACCCTTCTCTGGAGACACCTGCCTAACCACCCCCACCCCACTGCTGGTTCCTCAATTCTCCAGGCCTCAGCTGGGTCCTAAAGTGAGAGCAACCAGAGATGTCAATCACAGAATAAAGACCAAGAGGCAAAGAGGAAACCCAAAGGCATCTAAAGGTCTTAGTCCACTACTGATGGTAAAACAGGCCTTGACCGGATGCAAATGGGAATAGTAATTGTTCTACACACTTCAGTAGGTACTAAATTCACAGTCAGAACACGGGGAATGAAACTTCCACTGTGTCATGTAATTACGAGGTCACTATTCATTCAACAAATATTTATTTATTTAAAGTTTATCAATTCATTTTGTGAGAGAGAGAGAGCGCATGCATGCACACCTGAGTGGGGGAGGGGCAGAGGGAGTGGGAGAGAGAGAGAGAGAGAGAGAGAGAGAGAGAGAATCCCGAGCAGGCTTGGCAGTGTGAGGCTTCAGACTATAGAGCTATGAGATCATGACCCAGGAAGGAAGTGGTCTGTAACTGAGCCACCTGGGCAGCTCTCAACAAATAGTTAGTAAACTGCACATAAGTACTGGACACTGAATTAAATGTTGGGAAATAAAGGGCATGTGGTCCTGCTATTGTTGGCAAAATATTTCATCTCTTACCCTCAGAATCTTGATACAGGAAGGCAATTAGAAGGCATACCCACACTACCTCTCTACTCGCATAAGGATGCATTTGAAAGTCCTTATAAGGTACTTTGCAGCTAGTATTTATGTTGTCAAATTAGTTAACTAAGGATTATAATTGAAAATGTATAAAGCAGCTTAATAATATAAAGTAATTTTGGAATACAGTCATTTCAAACTATTTATATATTGAATATATAAACTTGGGCCTTTGGGGCTAATCTGAAGAAATTATCAAGTGCTTCCAGCATATGTTGATTTCTTGGCTACTTGTCCTTGGGAACAACTTAGAGTTTATAGACTGATCAAGACCCACCCTTGTGAGCTCATCAATGATGTTCTGCTGCTCAATGACTTGAAGTTTTAAAAACTCTGTCTCTTGTTCTTCATTAGCTTGATCGAGGTCATTCAGTGATTTTAATTTCTTCAAGGGTGGATGGGATGTTATTTTTTCTCTCTGGAGTGGAAAAGAAGAAAGTATAGGTTAAAGACATAAAAAAAAAAAAAACCCAAACTTTAGTAGTTAACATAAAATATCTGCAGAAACTTTATGAGGCTCCAGCTAAATGTGAAAATTGCTCAGGTTCATCTGCACACCAACCAAAACCCTCAAGTACATTTTATTTGCTACGAGTCAAAATCACTGGGAATGTCTGAAGATCCCTATAGCTACCTTGTAAGTCTGTTAAGGAGTGGATGTGCTCATCACCTGTCCACACAGAATACAAACAATGGCGGAGCGCCTGGGTGGCTCAGTCGGTTAAGTATATGACTTCGGCTCAGGTCATGATCTAGAGGTTTGTGAGTTTGAGCCCCATGTCGGGCTCTGTGCTGACGGCTCAGAGCCTGGAGCCTGCTTTGGATTTTGCATCTCCCTCTCTCTCTGCCCCTCCCCTGCTCACGGTCTGTCTCTCTGTGTCTCTCAAGAATAAATAAACGTTAAAAAGTTTTTTAAAAAAAATAATACAGGGGCGCCTGGGTGGCGCAGTCGGTTAAGCGTCTGACTTCAGCCAGGTCACGATCTCGCGGTCCGTGAGTTCGAGCCCCGCGTCAGGCTCTGGGCTGATGGCTCAGAGCCTGGAGCCTGTTTCCGATTCTGTGTCTCCCTCTCTCTCTGCCCCTCCCCCGTTCATGCTCTGTCTCTCTCTGTCTCAAAAATAAGATAAACATTAAAAAAAAAAAATAATACAAATGATGGCAATTATTTCTCAACTATTACGCAAGGTCTTAGAAGACGAGAGGTACCCATTGTACAGTTCTATAAAGAGCACATTAGTGAAATTCTTGCAAGTTTCTGTGGCTGAGGGCTATGTTAAAAGTTTGCTTCTGTATTTGGGAGATTCTGGAAAATGCAGATTCCAACCATTCTGCAAACTTAGAAGCCCCTTAAAATTCAGCCCCACGTTGCTTTCTTCCTTAAAGGTTCCTTCCTTACATAGGGAAAACCCAAACTTTCATGACCGGCATCGTATTTGAAAAACAAACTGAGAAAGAACAAATAAGACAGGTTGCTGGAGTAACGTAAGGACAGAAGCTGAAGCTTCTCAGAGTCTCTGATACACACCATTTCTGAATTTTCCTTTGTCACAGCTTTTAGCTTCTCTTCCATGCGCTGCAAAGACACCATCAGTTCATCGTTTCTCTTGGCGAGGCACTTGTTCCTTTCCAGAAGAGGTTTACATTGCTTTTCGGTTTCTCGCACACGTTTTAACTGGGAAGACATAAGTTACAATTTGTCTCTTGTGCAAGAGTGGATATGGGAGCAGAAGGAGTCAAAGCCCATCTGGGGCCACCTTTTCTCTGCTTCACCATGTATCTTGGGATTGACCACTTCCATCATTCATTTAACAGCCTGACTGCTTTGTTCTCAGTTTCCTCTAATGGTTTTTCTATTTTTTTTAATGTAATTTCTTTTTGAGAGAGAGAGAGAGACAGACAGACAGACAGAGAGACAGGGCATGAGCAGGGAAGGGGCAGAGAGAGAAAAAGCCACAGAATCTGAAGCAGGCTCCAGGCTCTGAGCTGTCTGCACAGAGCCCAAAGCAGGGCTCTAACTCACGAACCGTGAGATCATGACCTGAGCTGAAGTTGGATGCTTAACTGACTGTGCCACCCAGGTGCTCCTGATGGTTTTTCATCATAGTCTTCTGAACTCTGTATCAATGTGTTACCTTAAAAGCTGCCAAAGTTCTGCTTTTGGAAATGCTCAGGAAGAGCAACTTCATACCTTGCACGTCCTTGATTCCTGTAGTCCACTTACCATGCTGTGCTCAGCCCCCATCTCACGCTGCTCACACCTCTCCCTGGGCCTGTAATGACCCCTCACTGGCTCAGAAAGATAAAGCAGCTCATATGAATCACACATCACTAAGTAGTACAACTGGGACCCAAACCCAAGCCTAGTTTTTGCCAAAGTCTCTTCTTCCCATGAGAGATCTTGCTAAGACTCCTGAACCATGCTGAAGCTCTTTATTTTTATTTACATGTTTAAAGTTTATCTATCTTTTTGTAATCTCGACACCCAACATGGGGCTTGAACTCATGACCCCGAGATCCAGGTGCCCCAAAGATGCTTATTTTTAAGAAAATTATTAAAGGGGGGGGGGACTTACTCTCAAAGTTCTGTTGATATTTATGTTTAAGAACATTTAATTCTCCCCAAGCCTAGGCTAAGTATGATTGTATCCATACCCCCCCAGTAATTAAGAGTGACCATATTCTGGTTCACCTGTTAGTCTAAGGCAGGATTTCTCAACCTCTGCACTGTAGACATTGTGGGCTAGATAGGTTTTGCCATGAGGAGATGTCCTGTACATTGTACCATGTTTACCAGCATCCTTGGCTTCTGCTCACTAGATTCCAGTAACATCCTCCCAGTTGTGACAATCAAAAATGTCTCCAGGTACTGACAAAATTGCCTATAGCTGAGAACCACTGGTCTAACTTTATGGATGCTGTCTTGGGGTAATTGTTAATAGTCACCATCCCTTTTACTCTCCAAACTCCCCCACTTGGATGGCATATTTTATGTTCATTCTATACCTAATGGATTTCCATATTAAAGTTCCTATGGTTAGTTCGTTCACTTTATACTAATGATTCTGAATGATATGTCTTGGGGGAGGGGTACTGAAGCAAGAAAAGTGGTGGGGTGTGTCAGAACCATCTGACAAGACTGCTCCTGTTTCTGAGACTCCAACGTTTTGGGAAGTGCTGGGATAGGAGACTTAGCTACCTATAAATATTTGAAAAAGCTGCTCGTGTGATTCTGAAACAGTATTCCCCAACTGTCGTTTGAAAACTCATTTTATATTGAAGGCCAAAATTTTTCATAACCCCATTTAATCCTGAGTTTTGAGCTTCAAGTATCTGAAGCAAACATATTAAATATTGAGCACATACAAGGACAAATAAATTATTCCACTAGGTTTGCTATTTTAAACTTTGTCTCTTTGCCGAAGGTCAATGACAAGGATTTTAAATAGTTGTTTTTAAACAGGCTCCACACCGGGTGTGGAGCCCAATTCGGGGCCTTATCTCACAACCCTGAGGTCAAGACCTGAGCTGAGATCAAGAGTCAGATGCTTAACCAACTGAGCCACCCAGATGCCTCCCGGGGTTTTAAATAGTTAAATTTACTTAGTAGATGCTATTTATGGAAGATGTAGATAAACAGAAATAAAAGGAGATATCAGTAATTCTACCAGATCATACATCAGTAACCATAGATCCAAAGTACCCCCAAAAATGTTCCTTTTAAAAGAGGTAGCTTAGGGATGCCTGGGTGGCTCAGTCAGTTGAGTGTCCGACTTCAGTTCAGGTCATGAACTCACAGTTCGTGAGTTTGAGCCCTGCATCAGGCTCTGTGCTGACAGCTCAGAGCCTGCTTCAGATCTCTGCCCTGCTCTCTCTCTCTCTCTCTGCCCCTCCCTCAAAAATAGACATTAAAAAAAGAGATAGAGTTTAAATGCTATGAAGTTTGAAAGTCAATATAGTTATTCATGAAACCACTAAGAGAAAAAATTCTGAGGTAGTTCAACTAACACCAGATCAAGACTTTAAGAAGTATTACGGAAGATAAAAAAAATTCATGACGCAAGTATTTAACAAATCTTAATTTATATATACCTAGTACCCTAACTTCAAATACATATATAGCAGAATCGACAGAACTAAGAATAGAAATGGACAAATCTGTTGGGAGAATAAGCACACAAAAACGTTGTAAAGATATAGGAGATTAATGAACTTGATTCAAAATGCATGCAATGATCACAGGGTATACCTTCTTTTCATGGGAACATGGAATATTTCTAAAGGTGAGAAGAGGCTAGCATCATAAAGTGAATCTCAACGAATTTTAAAGAATGAAATGATACAAAGAATACCTGACTAATGTAACATTGTGTGTCAACTATACTTCAACTTAAAAAAGAAAAAGAAATAATACAAAGTATGTTCTCTGATTGTAGTGGACTTAACGTAGAAATCAGTAAGAGAAAGGTAACTCAAAAATCTCCAGATGTTTGAAGTTAAGCCTTGAGGGCTAAGTAACCCATGGGTCAAAGGAGAAATCCTACATTAGAAAAGATTTTGAACTAAATAGTAATATATTATGACATTAAAAAAAAAAAATGGGATGAAGCTAGTCATGCTTAGAGATATTTATAACCTAAAATGCATATATTAGAAAAAAAGGAAAGGCTGGAAATAACTTCTTTGTACCAAGAGCCACCATCAAGAATCTAAAATGTAAGGCACAGAGAAAGATATTTTAAATACAAGTATCCAAAAATTATTTAAGAATTCCTATTCTTAATAAGAAAATAAAGACAGTACAAAAGAAAATTTTACAAAAGACAAAGGGCAACTTGCACAAGGATACCCAGAAGGCCAAAAGATATGTAAAAAATTATTCAACCTCAGTATTAAGGAAAGTGAAAATTAAAATCCTACAATACAAATTATCGCTCACACTCACCAAAGTGACTAATATGATCAATTATCGGTTCATGTTGGAAAAGATGTGGAGAAGCCGTAACTCTCATACATCGTTGGTGGGAATGTAATTGCTATAACACGTGTGCAAAACTGGCAATACCTACTGAATCTTGCCACATGCATAACTCTATGATCCAGTAATTCTGTTCCTTGGGAAGTTCTCACCAGAAATGAACATGTTTTCTCACCAAAGACATGCACCATTAACATTAAAACTGTCAAGAAACGATATAAATGTCCATTAACAATAGAAGAGTAAATATACTGTGGTGTATTATTGGAAAAATAGAATAAGAAAACGAATGAATTATACATGCAATGCAATGAATGACTTTCACAAATGTAATGCTGGGCAGAAAAGCCAGACACAGAAGAGTAATTATTGTATGATGCCATTTATATAACATTTTAAAACCGGTGGTGGACCTTTATAGCGATAGAATTCAGTAGAGCGATCGATTATCTCTAGAACGATGGTGACTGGAAGCAGTCACAAGAAAGGGACGATCTGAGCTGCTGGTAATCCATGTCCTCATCTGGGTGGTAGTTATATGGGTGTGTCACTTTGGGTGCATTTATTAAGCTGTGCCTTTATCATTTCTGCATTTTTCTTTATTATGTTATACTTCTACATCATATATACTTTTTTAAACAAAATGCTTAACTAATTAACCAACTAATTCTGATCAGAACTCACCAGTTCATTTCGTTCATCTCCAAGCAAGGTATTCCTGTCTTCTAATTTTCTTATGGTGGCATTCAATTCAGCTATTCTCTTTTGATTTCTTCTCAAATCCTACACATGAAAATTGAAATGGGCATTTCTTCAGTAACATTTTTCTTTTCTCTCTTTTTTTTTTTCAATAACACTTTTCACAAGGTTTTGGAGTTCCACTCATAAATAATTAAGAGGCTTGATATCTTTCATCTGGCTTATGAGGTGAGACTAAAATGTTCTCTATTCAGAGAAGAGTAAATATTTACCCTCTTCTAACCCTCAACATTCACTGCATGGATTGAAGACCAAGACTGGTTGAAATTGCAAGTGAATTCCATGTGGCAGATACTCTCTGGAGCCCTGACGCCTGGCAGGGGGAGTAGTAGATGGTTGGACGAACTTATCAGATCTGTGGGCTATGAGGCCAGGGTCATGTCATAATTACATGAGGTTCAAGAAGCATCTCTTAAGTCATGGCTGCACATTGCTTCCCACAGCTAAGACAGATGTACTATTACACTTAGCGAAAGAGTAGAAGGTAGGGCTGGGCTTTAAAAATTCCTATGTATTCCTGGTGAAAAAGGCCAGTGTGAGAAGGCTGGTATATTGCCTTCACATATAAAAGGCAGTAGATTATAAGACAGCCTTTGCTAGTACATTTTGCCCAGAACACCTGGCTTCCCCACTGGCATCATTGCTGTGGATCACTTTACACATGGCATCACGGATTAAGTCTATGCTCCAGAGTCCACAGGACCATTAGAGACTTGCAATTCCATTATCATCTTATATTTTGAGAGTGCTGTACTGTTGATAAAGCAGTTTCCCACACATTATATCTCCAGATTCATAGAATCCTAGAGGATTCAGCAGATCAGGGAAGATTCAGAGAGGTCATACTCATCCAAGGGCTTGTGGCTACTACCAGTAGATCCATAATTAATATGCATTAAATGCTGACTATGAGCCAGACACTATGCTCAACATTTTACATACCATTTCTTCTAGACTCTGAGCAGCCTTACGGAGTAGCACTATGGCCTCTCTTTTACGGATGAGGAAATTCTGAGCAGTAAAATAATTTGCCTAAGGTCATCTGGTATGTGGTAGATCCAGAATTTGAACTAAAGAGTCTGACTCTAGAGCCCATTCTCTGGGCAGTTTTGCTGCACTGCAGGTAAATGTCAGTGATAGAACTAAAACTTACGTCTGCTAAATCCTGGTTCCGCCACCTACTGGGATATATATATCCTGAATACCAATTCATAAATTATTCATTACTTGGTTCTAAGTACTACTTTGGAACCTCTCTCTGTTCCTAAATAATCCATTTTCATCTTTTTAGCAGCTAAATAATTTGAAAGGTATAACTTATGAAAGTCAACTACATACAAGCTGATTTCTATGGCTGCAGTTCTGAAAATAATTTCTCATATAAAATGATGAAAATCCAGGGTAATAAGCGGCAAGTTCAATCAGAATAGAAGCTTTCAGATGATGATTTAAGTGGTTTAGTCTTTGATACAGTTATACATTTTGACCCCTGCAGATGACAACCATCTTTGCCAATTTCCAACCCAATGGTTCACACAAGGGAAAATTACCAGTCTTGGCAAGAGGCAAAGTAGTTTCATCTAATTTATGGCACTTACAATAGGCTGAAGTTTGGACAGGTATCCCGTGGCTAAAAAAATTCTTTGAAAGATTTAAAAAGACCGGTAATTCTTTCCTGATCCGCTAATGTGGTGCCGACCACTTTGCTGTCTATGAGTTTAGAAAACCCTGTTCCCAAGATACTAGCTGGTTTTATAGTAGGAGGGAGAATTGATTGCCTTGCAGTAAACAGGAAAAGAGCTTAAGTGGAAAGTAAAACTTGGGAGCTAAATAAAAGATGACTCCTGAGTTCTTCACTTCAGCTCGGACAGACTTACAGGACTGCCGCAGTGCTCAGAGCCGTCTCCTGCTCTTCCCGGAATCTCTCGTTTTGGACTGTTCATGTTGCACTCGGCCTCCTTGACCAGAAAGAGCTGTTCATCCAAAGCCTCCTTCTGCAGCTGCAGTTTCTGTACATAGCCGGTTTGGGTCTCCAGTTCCTTTTCCAGGGAAAAGATGATCCTGTCCTTGGCTTTAATCTCATCCATCTGAATTAAACGACACCCAGGACATTTTATTTAACAATGCTGTAAAAAAAATGCATTTTTACAATGGTATGAGTTTAACTTCTTTCTGCTGATTGATACGGAAAAAAAATCACAACTGTGACAAGTACATTGAATTTATGAATATGACAAGGCAGTACGGTACAATGAAAGGCTCTCTTAGGCTAATTAGGTGCCAAGGAGAACAACCTTTTCTCTCTGGTATATCCTGTGTAGATGTTTTAATTGAATAATATTGTTTGAAATGGTCCAGGTTGGTTGGAGTTAGAAAAGAAAGGTTGACCTTAAAATGAGTCATTTGTTTTACTAAATACAGATACTCAATACTCCACTGCAGTATTTCCCAGGACAATCCTTGATATCCCCTCCTGTTTAGAGGAATAGCCTTTGAGTTCACCTTAAACAGCAGCAGCCGCTATGAATTGGTCATTTTTTACTGAAGAAGCTTCAGCTTTTGCAGGAGCCTAGTCATTTCCTAAGGTCAATAGGTTTGCATTGAGGTGGTGAATTTGCAGCGAATTCAGGAGAGGATTTGGAACATGGTTCATGTTATGTGGCTCTTTCCATTCTTTTCCACATGTCAGAGCAAATAGCTCTTAGCAAGCATTTTACCATTACTGTCAAAACCATGGTTGGGACAGCAGGAATGGAAAACACCTGGTAATATGAGCCACTGTTGCCCCTCCTACACCTGTGGGATATAATTATTGATCCCAACACTCACTTCTGTTAAGCCTGGGCTTGATCTCAGAATTACGTGCCAACTGAAGGCCATAAACATTCAATACCAATTGATCAGAGTTTCATTGGACTGAAAAATTTTTGCCACTCCTGGTGAGGACTAGTTAAGTTAATGTCTGTAAACAATTTTTGAGGGGAGCACAGCCATCGGGTGAAACCTTTCTTCTCATTTCATTATATTTCATGAGAATATTCAAAATGGGGATAGGATAGAGACATTTAATAAAATTGTATTATACTGTCTCATTTATAATAGATGACTTTGTACAAATCTTTCTTTACTGTGAGAAATTGTTAAATAGTCCCATTTTTCCACATATAAGTATCTGTGAGCTGTTGCCTCCTAGTCACATGATTACATTTTAGATCAATTTTGGAAGGATGCTGGGCTAAACTCTGCATGGCCCTATGATATCATCTGATAACTGTGTGAGTATTCAAACACTGTCCTGCTAATTTGGGAATGAAAGCACTGCCTTTATTTTTCTATCTCCTTGTAGAAATTTGAATCCTGTGTTATTCTTAACTGAATGGTACATTCATTTGTTAGACCTGTCATCGATGATGTCATTTACAATTTACCATAGTTCCACACCTGCATGCTCCTAGCTGGTTCTGATGTACCCTACCTAAACGAACGTACTGGAAATTATTCCATTACTGCCAATATAATCATCTTCATCATCACCATCATCATAACTAAAATTTACTAATCTTTACTACATTCAAGGCACTATACTCAAAGCTTTATATACCTTATCTCCTTTTATGACAATTCTATTATGTAAGTTCTGTTATCACCACTTTACAGATGACAACTGAGCACCCACAGGGTTAAAAACTTTGCCATGGGCCTATGGCTCCTAAGTGGTGAAGCGCAATTTTAAATTCAGTCTTCTGACTCCAGAGCCCATTCTAATAGGCACTATGCAATATTGACCCCAACATCATACTTCCAGCGTTTTCCAAAGTAGTTTTCCAGTAGTAACTGGATATTCAAAGTAGAATGTCCAGGGGCGCCTGGGTGGCGCAGTCGGTTAAGCGTCCAACTTCAGCCAGGTCACGATCTCGCGGTCCGTGAGTTCGAGCCCCGCGTCAGGCTCTGGGCTGATGGCTCGGAGCCTGGAGCCTGTTTCCGATTCTGTGTCTCCCTCTCTCTCTGCCCCTCCCCCGTTCATGCTCTGTCTCTCTCTGTCCCAAAAATAAATAAACGTTGAAAAAAAAAAAATTAAAAAAAAAAACAAAAACAAAAACAACAAAGTAGAATGTCCAGTAATTAGTGCCGATGAGTCTCTACTGCATAGTGGTTGTAAGCATGGGCTTTGGTTTCAGAACACTGAAAATCCTTCCACAGTTCTAGTTCTTAGATGGGGAGGGGTACATACCAGAATTCCCTGGGGAAATTTTCTACACAGAAGGGCTCCCATTTCCCTCCTTTCCAGTTCCAAAAATGGAGCTGGGTGCAGGAGTAGTGACAAGACAAGAAAAAGAAAAAGCTGAAGACAAGTGCATCTGTACTACTGAAAAAGTTTCCCATGATTCTCTGTTTGCACCCAGTTTTTTAACCACTCCTCAGGTAGCTTAGATTTTACACTCTTACTAAGAGAGACTGTGTGTCTACTTTAGTAGTATGCTGGTAAAATCAAGTCACAGAAAGAAACTACAGACCAACAGGTGGATATACTCAGAGAGTTTATATCCAAAACCATCAACAAACACAAATATTTGATGTACAACACCCTTTTCATCTACCCACCTGCTAACTCCAGAGTTCACAGTGCTGGTTCTTTCTTCATCAGCCGTTGTCATTTCAAAAACCAAAGGCAGGGCAGAGACCAATATTTCTGCACTGTGTTTGGTCTTTATTGTCAACCAGGGCAATAGAATGAATTGCAGATAAAGAATTTGGAAAGTGTGGAAAAGGCAACAATTTACAGTCACACCGTATTGCAGTACAAAGAAAATTACACATTTATCTTTTTAAAATGTTCTATGATAACCACTTTTACCTAAAATTGAAATCCTAGAGATATAATCCAAGGAATATAATTGGATTCTTAAAAAAATAATTGCTTAGAACCAGCAGATACAGAAAGTGTAGATTTCCTAAGAAAATATTACTGTTATTATTTTTAAAGATCTTATTTTTGAGTAATCTCTACCCCCAACATGGGGTATAAGTCACAACACTGAGATCAAGAGTCGCATGCTCTACCGACTGAGCCTGCCAGGTTCCCAGAAAATACTACTTTTAGAGAAGCATCAAGTACATTCTAATAGGTGAGGGTTAATTTGATAAGATATAACTAAAGCTAAACATTCTGAGTATAAATGCATGTAAATGTGTCTTCTAAAACAATTGAATGTGGTCAACCTTGGCTTTCACATAATACTTTGTTGTTATTTTATGTATAGTGAGAGACCAATGTGGCTTTTGGTGATACGTATTAAAAAGAAAGATCTGGGGCACCTGGGGGGCTCAGCTGGTTAAGTGTCCGACTTCAGCTCAGGTCATGATCTCACGGTTCATGGATATGAGCCCCTCACTGGGCTCTCGGCTGTCAGCACACAGCCTGCTTCAGATCCTCTGTCCCTCTCTCTCTGTCCCTCCCCTGCTCACTCTCTCTCTCAAAAATAAATAAACATTTAAAAAAAGAGAAAAAAGATCTAACTCTGTAGGCTTTGAAATAAGTCTTAGAAATTGGCAATAGCAAATAAACTACTTAGGAATGACATCCAGTTTAAAAATTATAAGGGCTCCTGCTTAGAATGGCCCTTATTTATTTTGGGAAAGAAGATCTATTTTAAAAATGACTAGGGATCTTATAGCTCTATTTCTTGCTTTCAGACACAGTCCCTAGAAAGAACACAGGTGAATCATTCAGGAAGCTCTCAGTGGCTGCCATTTTCAGATGGCAAAGAAACTTAAAAAGCCATAGAAACTTTCCCTACCCCTTTAAAAACCCAGTAACATTTTATAAATGGAACGCCTGCAAAACATGTCGATTTTAGAAGAGTTCATAAGTTAGAATATTTTTATAGACATTCGAGAAAACAGGAATCATTGAACAGACACTCTCCATACATGTGCGGCTGGAAGAATCCAGTTTTTAGGAGAAAGGTGATTCCAGTGTCTTTTACATTTTACAGTTCCAATTTTGGCCTGGGCCTATCTGTTTATCTACCTACCTGCCTACCTATCGACCCATCTTGTGTTTTGGGTAGAGCACTCGACAAGGGGTGGGCACTCATGAGAGACACCTGGAAAAGCGCGCCCGCGGCGCTCTGACACCTGCCAAGACAATGTGCCCCCGACGCACTGCACTGGGTTACTAACCAGCCTCCGAATATCCCGCTCTGACTCCCACTTGATCTTCGAGATGGCTTCCTGGTGGGACTGATGCTCGCTCCTTAGGTCCCCAGCCTTTATTTTATCCGCTTGGATCATATTGCTGAGAGCCTCGTCCACCTGCTTCTTGGCAGTTTTCAGGTCCGCAATTTCCTGTAGGAGCTTAAGGCGCTCCGCGTCAAACAGTTTCCGGGCCTCCTCCCGGGCCTCGATGGTGAGCGCTGTCCGTACTTTGTCGCTGCTGCCGTCCCGGAGAGCACACAGGGCCGACTTGAGCCTCTGGATCTCCCCATCCCGCAGCTTCACTGTCCTTGACATTTCTTGCTCGTGCTGCTTGATGAGATTCTCCCGCACGGCCTGCAGCTCCTTCATCTTCTCCTCGTGGAGCTTGGCTTTGAGTTCCGTCACCAGGACCGTGTGCTTGCGCTGCTCCAGCTCACGGATCCTCTTTGCTTCTTGAGTCTTCTCTCGCTCAAGCTTAGACACCTGAAGGCAGAGAGGTCAAATGATGAAACGGGAGGAGCCTTCAAGGAAAGCATCTCTAGCTCGGGCCCTCTGGGCTCCTAACCCCTCATCGCTTCCTCCCAGCCGCGGTGTCCTCTGAGGGAAGGGAACCGAAGGGCCCAAAGAGGGAAATACAGCGCAGGTTGAGGAGGAAATACCTGGGGATGCTGTATTACTTTGTGCGGCAGTATCTGATGTTCCTCGGCCTTACTGTCCCATGTGTGGTCTGCAGACAGCCAGCACAGGCATCGCCCAGAAGCTTGTCAGAGATGCGCGATCTGGGGCTCCTCCTTCCCAGACCTCTAATCGGGACGTGCATTTTAACAAGTCCCCAGGTGACCGCATGCACATTAAAATTAGGACACGGAGCTATAATGGTTTTCACCTTGGTGGGGAGGAGTTCAAAACAGACCACCTGCACACATTTTCAGGCTACACATTCCCGGCCAGGTGCAAGCTGATTAAATGTGGGCATCTTAGGACTGTTCAATATTACGATCAGATTTGTAAAATGGTGCCCAAAGTGATATTACAAAACATTTCCCCCCTTTTCCCCCTTCCTTTTTGTCTGAGGCACTGGGGGAGGTAAAAAATAAAGACAGTTGATACATTCTGAACATCATGTTTCCTTCTGTGACAACTTAGTTCTACCCCCAGACATTATACATACACACACACACCAGCCAAAAACAGTGCAGATCACTGGGCTGTCTCTGCCAAAGGGGTCTGGTGTCCGGAACTTTCTGCATGGTCCACAGATGTCCCTTTGTGCCCTTCTCTACCTCCACTCTTCTCCCTCTCCTGCTCCCCCAACAACCAACCTGCCAAGCAGTTTAATAACTATTCCTTCCAGCCTTTAGACCTTTCAGGTACTTTGGTTGAACAAAATCTTCTGTGTTTTGTTACATTTGTAACGATAACATAGGTCTTCTTGTAGATTAGCCATGGCACTACCTTAATCTGGTGTGTGAGTCTGGCTCTGATTCAGTAGATCAGGGTGGGGGCCTGGCATTTGTAGCTTGAAAAAGCCTCTTAGCAAATGTTCCTTATTTTTGTCCTCCCCCTGACCCCCACATCTCTGCTGCCTATCTTTGTCTCTCTGCCTCTGCCGTGTACCCAAAGAATCTCTCTCTCCTCTCTCTCTCTCTCTCTCTCTCTCTCTCACAATAAACTAGAAAAAGGGAAGAATTAGGCAACCCCTGGAGTAATATCTGGTTCAGTGGAATTGGGTCTCTGCCATTTGTAAAATTGGAACTTTTCGTGAAATAATTGTGAAGAGTCTCTCCAGCTGAAAAATGTTGAGATTCAAACTCCTCATTCAGACTACTGTAATTATAATACAAGCGTGTGAGATTTTACTTACCTTAACAGTTTACCTACCTTTGGCTAGAGCAGGATTTTCTAAGTCCACCTGGCAATTTATGAATATTTTATTTTAAAGGCACAGCAGTTATTCCCACGTTGGTTATTCTAAAAGAACTCAGGGCAAGGAGACGTGGCAAAATAAACAGCCAGGCATCCTTAAATGGCTGTCTTTTGATCTTGCTTCCAACTCAGGCCAAGGTCCCTTGCTGGATGCGTTTTTATTAAATATGCTCTAGAGCTGTGCTATCCAGTCTGGGGACTACTAGCCACACCAAGTGCTTGAAATGCCCCAGGTCTGAATTGAGACTTGCTCTAAGTGAAAATACACACCAAATTTTGAAGTCTTAGTGTAAGACAAAGAATGTAGAAGTCTTAGTAATCGTTTTTATATAGATTAGATATTGAAATAGTATTTTGGATAAATTGCGTTACATAAAGTATCTTATTAAAACGAGGGGCGCCTGGGTGGCTCAGTTGGTTAAGTGACCGACTTGTGATTTTGGCTCAGGTCACGATCTCGAGGTTCGTGAGATGGAGCCCGGTGTCTGGCTCTGCACTGGCAGCACAAAACCTGCTTGGGATTCTCTCTCCCTCTCTCTCTGCCCCTCCCATGCATGTGTGCACGCGTGCTCTATGTCTCTGTCTCAAAATAAATATTAAAAAAAAAAACAATGATTCCTTTTATGTTTTATAATTGTGGTTACAAGAAATTTAAAAATTATATACATGGCTTGCATTTGTGGATCCCATTATATTTCTCCTGGACAGCTTTGGTCTAGGGTTCTTGGTGTGTTGAATGAATGAACCTGGCTTTCCCCACGCTGCTTGGTGACACTTCTCTTAGTAAAGCCCAAGTCTGACGTGATCTATGTACTTGCTCAAAAATCACCCAGGGCTCCTTTATGTTGTAGAATGGAACCCCTACACCTCAGCTTTGCCTTTCAGGCTCTCAGAATATTTGGCTGGGTGCCTGGGTGGCTCAGTCAGTTGAGCAGCTGACTTCTGCTCAGGTCATGATCTCATGGCTCGTGAGTTCCAGCCCCACATCGGGCTTTTTGCTGACAGCTCAGTGTCTGGAGCCTGCTCGGATTCTGTCTCCCTCTCTCTGCCCCTCCCCCACTCGTGCTCCGACTCTCTCTCTCAAAAGATGAATAAACATTTAAAAAAAAGTGAAAAAAAAGATTCGGCTGGACCTCCAGCTCCCATTTCTGCTTCCTGCTGTACCTCTCCTCACCTGTCCCATACTACAGGCATGATTAAGGGGGATTATGCTCTTTCCTGCACATGCCCTGAATCTCTGTACCCATGTGCCTATGGTTTTCTCTTCCTGACCTGCCCTTCCCTCAGCTCTCTTGGGGATCCTATCATCACTCGTGGCCAGCTAGATGTCACCTTCTCCAGTCATACCACCCCGACTGCCCAGGACAAACCTCATTTCTCCTGCTTATGTCTTTTCAGTGCACTTGGCTAATACCCCCTTACTGCTCCTTTCTGCATTTTTCTTTATACTATGGGTATCGTTTTTTGCATGCTTATCTGTCTTCACCACCTCTTCTCCTGCTCCTACTCCAGACTGCAAACTGCTCGAAAGCTGCCAACAAGCCTTGTTCATCTTTGTCTACCCAGTGGTTGCCAGCACAACACATAATAAAGAGCCTGAGAGTGTGTGTGCAATTAAAGAATGTATGCCAGTATGTTTCCCTGGCTAGCCCTCTAACCAGAGGCAAGAATAATACATCCTGTCATATGGTTTAGAGAACACAGACTTGTAGGGTTTCTTGGAGCAACCGCTCATCCATCACTTCCCTGCATAAAACAATCAAAGAAACAAATAAACAAAAGACCATCACATATAAGAATGCCTGTCTTCTGCTTGATAATTCTCTCAGTGCTTCAATAAGGACAACCTAAACCTTACTCCCCATTTTTCTAGAATAAACTCAAGTGACTAGACTATGGGTAGATAAACCACAGCCCATGAGACAAATAATTTCTTGCCTCTATTTTTGTGAATAAAGTTTTACTGGAACACAGTCATGCTCTTGCCACAATGGAGTTCAGCGGTCTCAGAGAGACTGGTCTGCAAAGCCAAAAATCTGTACTATTTTGCCCTCTATAGAAAAAGCTTCCTGATTTCTCTTCTAATAATGCAGTTTTTGTGAAAAAAGAGGGCTTATTTTTCATTGATTTAGAAACTCTGATAATTTACCCTGCACTTGAAGTTAACTTTACTTCAAGTGATAAGAAATTAGTTACCTTCAATTTCAGCAGGTTGTACTTACGTTAGGCCTTTGGAACATCTTGACTATAAAGGCTGGCAGGTAGCAACTTACTTAACGGAAATTTTAGCAGTTCTTTTGAGAACAAAAAATAACTAGTAAAAAGGGACAAAGGATAAGTAATTCTGGGTTTGCATTTTTATTTAACAATCTGCTATATCTAAGGAAGTTGCTTTATCCCTCTGAGGATCTTTGGTTATGCTTACAACTTACCCATAACAGGATTATTTTGTGGGTTAAATTAGATAATGCTTGGGAAAGTACCTTGAACTGTAAAGTACTATGAAAAGGAGGGTAATATTACTGACTATAAGAGGAGATATCCAGGACCTAAAATTATTTATGTCAAACTCTCTGCAGGGGTCTTAGATTATTTCACATTGTGATTCTGTCATTTCCCTCAAATTATAAACACTGATCCTTTGTGTGTAGATTGGAGATGAATAAAAAAGAAAAAAAATGAAAATATAGGTATACAGAAAATATATTCCAACCTGAAGAAAAAAACAAACACTGGCCTTCTTGTCCATCACTTAAAGGAATCCATAGAACTCAAAGAAAATTCAAAGGCATTGATTGATTACATTTGACATTTTTCATGTCTGCTTATTTGGTTGCCATAGAAACTGGCATTTTTGCAGAATTTCTAGGTATGACTTGTTTTTCTAAGCTTGGGAGAAGTGTTTGACTATGAAGGAGACACAAAGGATGTGATTGACATTTGGGAGGGAAAAAAAAGCCACTTAAAATTTTTGTAGTAAAATAATTTTCTGAAAATTATTTGCAGCTCAGATTGTACTGGTAAGAAAATGGACTTTACCATCTTAATGTAAATGGTACCCAAAGAGAGAAAAGACTACTCCTGAGTAACAATGAAAAATATAAAGATAATACTTGAAGTAGAAAAAAAAAAATACTTGGAAGAAGAAAGAATCCATTTTGATAAGTGGAAATATTTCAGACAAAAATTTCCACTGTATCACATGATAGCATTTATTGGAGGTTTACTGTGAGTTTGGCACCTTCCCAAAGGCTTTACACACACCACCATGTTTACCCTCAGCAGCTCTGTGATGTAGGTAACGTCTGTGTCACCTGAACGTCATATGAGAAGTGTGAGGACTGGTCTCTGTACAAACAGAGTGTGAAGAAGACTGTGGAGAGACCAGTGTGGGCCAGGAGGCGGGTCTGGGTCAGGTCCTGGACCTGCCTGCTCACTTTGAAACCTCCAGCAAGCTCTTTACCAACCCCAGCCTCAGTTTTCTCATAAGTAAACTGGGATTGGGGGCCTCATTCTCATATGGTTGTGAGGGCTGACTTAGATAATGTTTCAAAAGA